CGGGGGGCCGCCCGGCCCCCCGTGCTGCTGAGTGCGCAGCCTCTCCTCCCCACCCCACCCCCCAACCCCCGACCCGAGGTTTCAGAGCCACACTAAGCATGCAGCGCTCCAACGGCGATTTAAAGGGCCTAGGGCACCAGCCACTGCTGCTCCTTTGAATCGCCAGGCCATAAGCACGGCAAGACTGGTTCAGACCAAAGGTCCATCCAGCCCAGTGTCCTGTCTGCCCACAGTGGCCAGTGCCAGGTGCCCCAGAGGGAGGGAACAGAACAGAGAATCATCATGAGCCACACTAAGCATGCAGCGCTCCAACGGCGATTTAAAGGGCCTAGGGCACCAGCCACTGCTGCTCCTTTGAATCGCCAGGCCATAAGCACGGCAAGACTGGTTCAGACCAAAGGTCCATCCAGCCCAGTGTCCTGTCTGCCCACAGTGGCCAGTGCCAGGTGCCCCAGAGGGAGGGAACAGAACAGAGAATCATCATGTGATCCCTCCCCTGTCTCCCATTTCCAGCCTCTGACAAATAGAGGCTAGGAGCACCATTCCTACCTATCCTGACAAATAAGTATTAATGGACCTGTCCTCCATGAATTTATCTAGCTCTTTTTTGAACCCTGTTAAAGTTCTGGTCTTCACAACATTCTCTGGCAAGGAGTTCCACAGGTTAACTGTGCGCTGCCGGGAAAAAAAAAAACTTTCCTTTTGTTTGTTTTAAAGCTGCTACTCATTAATTTCATTTGGTGGCCCCCTTCTCCCCCCCTAGTTCTTATGTTTTGGGAACAAGTAAATAGCTTTTCCTTATTCATTTTTTCCACACCAGTCATGATTTTATAGACCTCTATCATATCCCCCCAATGTCTTCTTTTCCTAGCTGAAAAGTCCCAGTCTTTTTAATCCCTGTTCATGTGGGACCTGCTCCAAACCCCTAGTCATTTTTGTTGCCCTTTTCTGAACCTTTTCATACCAATATGTCTTTTCTGAGATGAAGCGGCCGCATCTGTATGCCGTATCCAAGATGTGGGCATACCATGGTTTATATAGAGGCAATAAGATATTCTCTGTCTTATTCTCTATCCCTTTTTTAATGATTCCTAACATTCCATTTGCTTTCTTGGCTGCTGCTGCACACAGAGTGGATGTTTTCAGCGAACTATCCACAATGACTTCAAGATCTCTTTCCTGAGTAGTTGTAGCTAAATTAGTCCCCGTCATATTGTATATATAGTTGGGATTATTTTTTCCAATGTGCATTACTTTACATTTATCAACATTAAATTTAATTTTCCATTTTGTTGCCCAGTCACTTAGTTTGGTGAGATCTTTTTGAAGCTCTTCACAGTCTGCTTTGGTCTTAACTACCTTGAGCAGTTTGGTATCATCTGCAAAGTTTGCCATCTCACTGTTTACCCCTTTCTCCAGATCATTTAGAAATAAGTTGAATAGGATTGATCCCAGTAGGGACTCTTGAGGGACCCCTCTAATTAGCGTTGCCCCATGTCCGGTATTCTACTGGACAGTCCGGTTTTTGGGCCCTCTGTCTGGTAAAAAAAAAATTAGAAAATACCGGACATGTGAACTGTCCGGTATTTTCTGGTTTTCCGGTGGGGCGCCGGACAGAAGCCTGGTGAAGGTGAGGGAAGGGGTGGGGAGGTGGGACGCGATTGGCTCTGGAAGCCTCTGGTTGCATCTGAGGACGAGGGGAAGCCCTGTCCCTTCTCCTGAGTGCTGGTCAAGCGCGTGGTGCAGCCGCAGCCGGACTAATACCGGACATGTGAACTGTCCGGTATTTTCTGGTTTTCCGGTGGGGCGCCGGACAGAAGCCTGGTGAAGGTGAGGGAAGGGGTGGGGAGGTGGGACGCGATTGGCTCTGGAAGCCTCTGGTTGCATCTGAGGACGAGGGGAAGCCCTGTCCCTTCTCCTGAGTGCTGGTCAAGCGCGTGGTGCAGCCGCAGCCGGACTC